AATCTAGTTTCTATTTATTGTTTTAATATAATACATAATTTTTATCACCTATAGACAATTAGTTATGGGCTATTGGAAAATTAAATTATAAAGAGAAACAGCTAATACAGTGTGTACGAATTAAAGTCGATAGTAAACGTTCTTTTGTGTGGCAATTACCTAAATAGATAATATCAACCATACTAATGTGATAGTATGATAGTACCACATATTCCGCATGTCCCTACTATAAATGATATTCTTTTTTCTATTTCATCAGATCATTTCACCATGACATGTCTTTGTGCACCACACCATGTCAACCGACATCACAACCACATTATTATATATATATATATATATAACCTGCTAACGACATCGCAGATCAAATTTATTTATTTATTTTCACGATTCTGGTAACGACGTTGGATGTCGCATGAGCTAAAGCTTAAAGATATGCCCGATAGATATATTCGTAATAACGTTGCGTTTTTTTTCCGCCATTTTTTCAACCCATATTATTAAACATTTAACATGGACAACGAAATCCAAGACTCTCACTTCCAAATATATGCGAGGAACAAACAATTTCTTTAGCAACTCGATTAAAATTAATATATTGACAAACAAGTAGGTACACTCTTAACATTTTTCTGAAATCAATTTATCTCGGAATTTCAATTGGAATCACAAGAAGATTAATAATAATATAATAAAAAAATGCTTTTAGTCGTGTTTATCTTCTTCGACATTTTCAAATTTTAGAAAAACATTATATTTCCATAAGACCCAACACAAGGCACTCTCTTTACTCAATATCAGCTAATGGTTTCTCACTCTATGCGCGAACTATAAATACTAATATAAACCTAATAAAAACCTATGCCACCACAGGGAGCAAAGTTACAGTTAATAGTGACACCAAGGTTCCTCCAGGAAGATTTCTAGACACGAAGATGGTGTATATGCACAATCGCCACGTCTATACATCCCGTTCCTCCATATACCGAGAGTATTATATACATAACGGTTTATTTAACTACTCGATCGACAAATTATTACTATACGTGTTACTCTACAATATAATAACAACAGCGATAATCGATGGCGGCCTATGGTGGTTAGCCGGTCGCCGCCGCCGTCAGAGAACCAAACGGGTTATAATAATATTGTGCGGTCCACCTGGTATATAATAAGTACACTTGTGTGTGTGTGAGGTCGTCAGTGTATTTGGACCGAGGTGGAGGCGGAGGAGGCGCTCAAAACTAAATGGAAAGCGACGAAGACGAGACAAACGCCGGCTGGGACCACGACTACGGTGGGAACAACAAGGCGGTTGGTGGCGTTTGACAGGTAACAACCAGCTTTGGTGGTTAATGATGATGTTATATAGCGCCGTCACAAGGACGCTGGTGGCGGCATTTTTACAATCGTTTTGATTATTTTTATTTTTTATTAATTTTCGTTCGACCCAGCGACGACTACGACGACGTTTGACAGGCAGAGGCGACTGTGTGTACGACCTGCGGGTAATGACGGTTTAATATTATTATTGTTATAACCGTCGAGCCTATCCGAGACGTGTCCCTCCTGGTTAGAATCCAAAAGCAATCACAGGAAATAATAAAATATATCAATAATAATATTCATCGAAACGTGTTTTTGTAACGATTCCGCGGATCGGATTTGCACGGCGGCCTGAATCCTTTCGCGGTGTGTCGACAGCTGTGTTGACAATGACACTCGAAATATACCGAAAAATCCACTATTTAATCGGATTTGCGATCTCATGCGTGTGTGTGGCCGTATAGTAAAATAATCCTATCGACCTGATTAAATGGCCGCACGTTGTCGGCAAACGGACTTAAAAGTTCCACCGTTATTATCCTCGTATTTATTATTATTACACATCACCTCCTGTTTGGTCACCCCCCATTCCTCATCGCCTTACCTTGTCGATAGTTTTTCTTAATTGGATTCCGGCGCGCTTAATCGTTTCATTCGGACAACGGTATATTCGCGACGTTTAAATCTTAATTATAAGGTTCCGTCCACTTTATCAAAAGACACAATAACGACATATCTTTTGTGAGCAGTGACAGACACGTCATGAGCTAGCGTTCAACGAAATTTTGCCGTACTTAGCCTTATTTTAGTCTCGATCGAGAGGTTAGAGAAAAATTTAATGAAAGATAAGCAGACCCTTTCTGAAGCAGATTCGAGTGGGACTAGTCCGACCGTCCTTTTCATCCCCGGTGTTAAAATGTTGACCGCATTTTCAAATTACCAAAAATCCATCAGCTCGAATCGATGGAAGTCAGACCAAATTTAATAATAAGCGGACCTACGTTTAGTTGTGGGATTCGCACGGTCACGTTAAAAAAGAAAGGCGTTATGGCGACGCGACGATTGGTCAAGGATGGCGCCTAAAGCCTCGAGAGCCCCTTTTATACACAGGTATTATTAGTATATTATATTGTGTACGTGTAGAGTAGGCGCACGTAGGAAGAGATGGCTACACGGTCGTCCCGGGTGTGTATGTTACCGGCGAATGCGTTGGCGAAACTGGTCTCAAAGTGTTGTGTGTGTGTGTGTGTGTATAAGTAAAACATAAACGGTGACCAAATATAGGAAACTCGATCGCCGTCCGTCACACAGAGTTGGTAGTAAAACGCGACGACGACACGACTTTTTTAGGACCGTATCGCTTTGGTTTCATTTTATTTTTTACAGAAGAGTAATAGGGTTATATTATTATAGAGTAGCAACACACCCTCGGTGGCATAAATACGACGCGGGTGTAGGCCATTGTTTACCTCGGTATCAACGCACGCACCGAGTTACTACCGCCGGTCGTCATACAGAAGCGAATCAATCAAAACGCACCGATTTGTCCCGAGCAAGGGCTGCTCCTGCATAACAATATTAACCGCTCTGCCCAGGGATTTCGGCTGATGTTATACGACGAGGGAAAGAAAGCAATAAAAAAACGTTTGAAGATTAGGTTCGTCTGTTTTTCTGTTCAACGTGTGGCCGGTCTGACACCAGTTAGGCCCCGGCGACGATGCTGCCTCAGTAGATCGGTATCTCGTCCAGACCGCTAATGACGACGCCATAGACCGCGCGGGCACACGTTTAAACATATTATTGTTATTGTTATTATCATTATTATTATTATATACGTGCCACATACGAAAGGAGGTGTACACTTATGTAGAGGAAAGAAATCGTCGGACGAATCTTTATTAGCGCCATCGACACGAGACCACCTATGTGTATAATACAGACACGACCGCAATAGCCGCCGCCTTCAGTATACAACGCTGAGGACCGCGTGTCACCTTCGGGATAGGGCAATTAATAACTCCCCGTTCGATTAATACGCGCACCTAATCGCCGCGGAGGGTTTAAAACACATTAAAACAAAAAGACTACACCCACGTCTCAAGGGGAAAAAAATGTTCACAAAAAAAAGTTAAGAGTATATCCACACTTCGTGCAGATACATCAATACATGGATATGTCCTGATAATTATATGATTATTTTCCATCTATAATCTCCTTGAGATATATGATGATAGCATAGTCTAAATTATATGTTCTAGCCAAACATTTTTTAGTAGTTTTATAATATCTGGCCTTAATCGATTTACTGGCAACATTTATCAATATTTAACATTTCTCATGAATCAATTTCCGTGGTTCGCCAGTAAGTGCCTACCTAACAAATTAATTTGACTACCTTTATATGTATCCTTCTATATCTTCCAACTTGATGTAACTGCATGAAATGTGGATATTCTTAACTTTATTTTCAGAATGGCCCTCCATAATCCCTCCGTAATCCTCCTCCAAGACGTAATGATAATGACGTAAGCACTGTGACACTGAACATGTAGACATTTTCAGAATGACCCCCAGCCATATGACATATCCATGTCAAAATTATAGGTCTTTTTTTACTTATAAACTTATCTGTAAGAGCTTTTAATTTGGCCATTTTTAAGCACCTATTACACGTTTAATAATTGTTTTTTTTTATAGGTACGTTGTAACCAGTTTATTGAAATAGACAGCAAAGAGCGTTCAAATCGTTCGCCCAAAGCGTCGCCAAATGAAAATATGGATGACAAGTACAACTCCCCTTGATGGACATTATTTGCTTATGCTATTTGAAATATCGGGTGTTTAGAAAGATTCTCTACCGTCACTAGTATGTTACTCAATTTTTGTTTTGAATTTCACGTGATCACAGCTGACAATTGACGGAGGGCAAATGACAATAATTGTCGATTCGTTTAAAATAGAATTAGCGTGCGGTAGGTCGGTGAACTTACTGTATAAACATATTGTATCGCGTAGATTCTTATCAAAAATTGTTAATTTAAAAAATATATATATAATAAATAATAATTACTTCCTTTTCTCAAAAATAATACGACTTGATTTCAGCAATAATGGAACGAGCGAGATAACACAAATGTAGAGTTGGCCGGTAGGGGAAGGGAGAAGGACAACAGATTGGCCGCGACTTTTCAGGGTCTCGACCGCGAGAGCCATGCCCCTGTCCCTCCCATCCCGCTCGTTGGACGGTGGCCGACCGGAAATAATATGCCCGCAGACGCCGGCACTCTGGCATCGTGTCAACGCGCATACCGCGACGTCTAGCTGTGGCCTAGCCCTCGTCGCGAGCGCTCAACGTCTAGCCCACGCGGCCGCCAACTTTAGCCCACATTGTACATTCGAATTTTCTCTCCTCCGCCTCCTTACCGCCGTCGGTCACCACCTATCACCCACACCTCCCCACCATCAGTTTGCCTTTCCACATGAGCCGATTTAATTAAACGCACGTTAAGATTTGTATATTAATACAATAATAATAATACTAACCATATAATAATATAATATTATGAGTACACAACGCACGATAACATCATACAATGCGTATACATAAAGATGTACACTATACACTATATATACGAGATATTAAACTATTATTATTATGTTTTTTGTGTACTCACGTGTGGTTGATGAAAGACATACAGAGACTAGCAGGAGGAAATTGAACATGGTGAACGTGGCGGCGCGGTGCAGGCTTTGTGACGACCCGCCGCCGCCTTGCCGCCTCACTACTACCGTTCCCTCGGATTCGACGCGTCTCCGACCTATGCAAAACATACCAAATAACAAAATATATTAGTAATCGTACCAGTTAAAATGATATATTTATATTATTACAATATAATATTACAGACGACACAAACGTCAAAATTAAGGTGATCACACAAAGCATTCGACCAAATTATAACAAGGTAACGTGTATATACATATCAAACGTTTTACGGCGGTGGTCCTTATAATACGTATATATAGATAGATGGTATAATGATGGAAAACATAGTGTAACGATTTAACGGAAAAGCGGCATGAAAAGATTGACCGCCGGTGGCAATGGTTTTTTAAAAGGTACGTCGAATTAACCGAGTGAAGATAATTTCAGGTGGTGGGCACCACCGCTGTCGTGGCTTTAGATTACACCACATTTCCTTTTGTGTGCTCATTGTCAGTGAAAGTAGTGTATTAAACGCGCATTGGGTTTTTATCGGACGCGTCACGCTACGTAAACGATTATCACAGTTTGTAAGTATAATCGTATAATAACAATAATATAATAATAATAATAAAATGTATTAAATTATAAAAATATAATAAAAAATAACACGATGATACAGGTGTGAAAAAAACGGCCGTAAAAAAATAAATATGGCTTTTATTTTTCATAGTTTTCTTTTCTTTTATTTCAAGAACAATTAATATATGTTTATATTATTATATCGTTGGTATTATTATCGTTTCTAGGTCGTCGACGACGGTAACAAGCTTTATTTACATATATGGGTTAATACGAAATGGAATTCACCGTGAAATTCGCGTTCCGGTTTTTTTTTACCTGTATATTTTCTATACAAGCATAATATTATAATAATATAAAATATAGAAGCCGGCGGCGTATAGGGATAACACTAATGGCGGCAACAGTTCATCATAATAATAATATGATTCGTAGTATGCGTGTACAATCATACATGCTACAGTTTGTGTGTACAGCAGAAGAACGGGGAGCAAGTGATTACAATCGGGTCACAAGTCACAACGAGTCGTGCGTGTGGTGTCTTCGACAGTATTACCCATAAGGTGCGTTAGTATTGTTGATTAGTAGTGTATAGGACGTTCGTTTTTATTCTTGGCTTGTACTGTTATAGTATTACTTTTTTTTCGATTTCAGGGCACACGCTCGAGCATATACACATAGAGGCGCTACCGAGTGCAAGAAAAAGTGTATGTGTCAACCACCGATGACACAGGGACACAGTAAAACTATAAGACTATAAAGACGATGACGACGAGGGGCAGGTCGCGGGCTTGGTGGTGAAAAAAAACACCATGTCGACTTCCTTTTGTTTGTTTCTTTATTTTACCCTACAACACGGCTGTTAGGCGGTTGGGTTTTGTACGGATTCGTTATATACGGACAAATAATGTGGTAGCTTAATACACACAAACACACAGTGCACGCGCCAACACGAGAGCATGATATATAAACACACACACAGACGATATCGTCGAAGATGAAAAATGGTGACGGACGACAGCTGTCTTGCGTGGGAAATTAAATACCCGAGGAAAGGAAGGTTAATTGACCCTGGCCAAAGGTGCAACGACCACCCCACCACCATCAATACCGCCACCGGGCAAACACTACGCGTCGATGGCGGCGCTACTACTACAACTACTATATTTTTATATACATTATACTATCACAACTATATCATTACAACAGGCTGCGGGCTACTATGCTGCTGCTGCGACGACGACGATTTTTTGGCGGGTTTCGGACCCGAGATGACTATACTTGTCATCACAATTATCAGCTCTCGACCATATTGTTCCATCCGCAAGCGCAAGACGGTTGTGACGTCACGGTCCGGTTGACAATTTCAGTATAATGGTGCTAGTTCATCTTTTGCCGCTGCCCGGTGTTTTGTTGCAGTAAGGTACACTTTTTTTATTATTTTTTTTATACGCGAAGAGACTTACACACACACACATATATATATATTGTTTATATATATATATATATATATTGTTATATATATTATATATATATATATTGTACACACATTTTTTTTATATTTTTTTTTGATCCTCCATCCGTGACGTTACTCCGCCGATGGACCTGCCGGCGCGAGGCTTCACCTCCGCCTCTCATCATCACTTCTCTTTCACACAGTCACTCGGGCGACCGCCAGTTAGCATTCGTCATTTGGGTTGTAGAGAAAAAGCACTAGAACTCATTCGTCGTCTCTGTTGCTCCTTTGCTCCGGTCTACACCACCGCATACAGAAGTCATCGCGGCGGTATCTATAGTATATATATTTATTCACTATCCGCGTTGTTGGCGACAATGACGATTGAAACAAAAAAAAAAGACCGTTTTATTTATTTCCCCAAAAAAATCACCGGAGGTCAATAGTCTCCTTCCTTCTCTCTCCCAAAGCGTTTGTTTTCGAAACGTTTAAATAACGAAAAAAAATCATTATTTAATTTAGGTACACACACACACACACTCGTGCTCATTCTCAATAGGCGCTCACACACGCAAACGGTGGAAACATGTCATAAATGAGAACTAATAACTCTCGGGTCGGTTGTAACATTGATTGGCTGCTGCAACAGCGTTGGAGGTCCGTTGACCTTGAACCCGTTCCGCCGAGAAGAGTCTTCCTCTAAACGAGCGCACATACAGAATTTCCTATTTAATCTCCGTGTCCATTGTAAAGATATATTTTAACGTTGCCATTTTTTTTAGTTTCTTTCTATTTATCTATCGCTAGCTTCTCGATGACCAACATAAACCCACTTCTCTCCGTCACCCTTAATACGGGTATTGTTACATAATATACATAATAACAACGGGAGTAATAACAATAATAAATATATGTTATAATGGAATAATATGATCTACGAGACAGACAGACGTGTGCCATCCGCAGGATTGCGCCATATACGAAACCATTATTATTTCCACTCGAATAACACACGCAAACATACAACGACAAAAAAATAAACCCTCACGAGAACCGTCGATATTAGGTATTCGGACAGGGCAGGCGTATATAGCTACGTGATTGCCGGACGCAGTACAAAGCTCCCGCGTTGTATCGAAAAACAATATACTTTTAATAAGTGTGCGCTACGGGTAGGGATATACCGGATGCAATAAAATACGTCTCGACGAATGGCGCGAGCGACACACGAATTAATAATAACTAATATTAGTATACAAAAATCAGCACGTATTATTTGAAAACAATAAAACAATACAAAAAAAAATTGAAAAAAATTGGTAAATGACATCCGTAAAATTAGGATGAAACCTAATTTTTATTTTATGCATTTTTCTAGAGGCTACCGCGCTTTCTTCGCGTGTATAATATAAATTAATTGTGTTTCATCGTCCCATCGCCGTCAGTCACGATGGACTTTCGTTTTTCACACGTATAATAAAACAGTAAAATGTATGTATAGAGAGAGAGATGATCTCTTTTTCTCTGCTCTCGCGTTAAGGGGTATATATATACTTGTCAACCGACAGTATATAATATTATATAATACATCACGGCAATAAAATACCAATATTATACGCATATTATGTTTATTATTATTATTATTATTATTATTATTGTTATTTCCCCATAGTGTAATTTCGCCGGTACGATAAACACACTGAGCGCCGCCACTGAATACACCACCAACGCGTTTCCCATTCATCGACAAACGTACTATATTGTTTTATCGTCGTACAAAACTTCTCGGAACCCGTACATAATTCTATTATACATACATCTTAAGTACGCGTTCTTTGTTGTAACGGCCGAAAAACATAATATACAGTTTTCTGTCGTCGCTAACACTGTGTGAAATTACATTTTCTAGTCGTTCCCTACCACCCTGATCCGTCCGCATAACGTACATAAGTAGGGAACTTTCTAAAAAAAAAATGAATAAAAAGAACCCAACACAAAACTAGCACTTTATGTTAACACGGCAGATATTAAATGACATTTTTTACTCCGGATAAAATGTACACAGGTCAAGTCAGACCGCCGAGCAAAATGAACAATTAGAAGTTCGTTTTTCAATAATTTAATAAATGTAATATTTAGTTTCAAAATGTGTCAAAATAATTTTTGTTTTTTTCTTCAAAATCAATAACAAATTATAGCTCTTAGTTGGTAAAGAATAAAGTACACAGAAAATCCATGTAAAACTAACTCTTAGCTTATTGTATGAGCATTAAAACACAATAACACGTAAAAAGCATTTAATGAAAAAACTACCTTGTACAAAATCTAGATAATATATCTAGGTATTACGATAAAGTTAGGTTTAATGAAAAATATACATATAACACTTAAGAACATATTGACTTTAAAATTAGTCGATATTTAACTACAGAAATAAAAGTTCAAACAACTTGTGAGTTACTGGTTTGAGGTTTAAAAGTTACACATCATATATTATACCTTTAATAGTTAAAAAATGTAACAATTATATTTTAACACGACTCAAGTATGTAGTACCTATATATAATTGATCGCCACATTTACTTAGACTTCTTACATGCTGTAGAAACTTGTAAAATTATCGTTATCAAAAAATTATAAACAGACGACTCGTTATGTTATACGTTTAAAGTAGGCGCGCTACTTTCGTGACGATATTTCGTGTCACTATTTTGTGTCGTTTTTGAGATGGGAGGCCAAGGCTAAAGCATGTTCCATGCTAATTGTACAATTAGAAATTTTGACCGATTCTCCTGGGATTTGCTAATGCGATTAAAGGAGCCGTAACACCTTTCACGTCTTCGTTGGGAAAAGTAAAGGCACAACGGTTCCGGGGGTACGCGTCGTATATGGTCATTGGGCGAGTATACCATACGAGTTATAATACTTCGGACGTTCTTGGGTATTATACATAATGTGTATACGTGGGTAATTAAATAGGATATCAATAGATCTAATTACGAGAAGAAGACGAGAAGGGAAAAACGTGTATGATACTTTCTCCGTACACATTCGATAATGGGTACCGTGTGTGTACAGGTATTTTATACATATACATGTTTAATAAAAAAAAAAACGTCTAGTAATGCGGAAACCGCCGTTGCCGACAGCGAAGCGATTCACAACTCCTCCAGCGTCTGAGCCAATGCCAACGAAAATTATTTCGAAACGTCATATTACTATTATTATTTTTTTTTTTTACTTCTAGCCCTATTGTTTCAAACCCTCAACTGCTGCACCGGCCATAAAGGCAACCGCAACCCTTCTAGCAGAATTTCCGGCTAAATTAGCCCCGTTTATTTGTCAAATCGCACTATGCGGGTTACAAGAGCGATTTCGGCGCGGTTTCGTTTTTACAATAATAATATTTTTGACCGACTTTATTGTTTCGGATGCTTGACGAACACACACACACACATTCGAACAGCAGTGTCGCCCCATTAACCGCGTTTTACATTATACGTGCCCACAATGCAAATAATCACAACACACAACACGGGGGAGGACCGGCTTTACCGCGTGCGATAATGGGAAATATCGATGTAAATCCGAACACGGATGGAAAAGAGGTATTACGGAAATATTAATAAAAAAGAAAAAAATGTATGATTAGTTATTACCAGATTTATTATCCGACTAACTTCTTGTAGGATGTACGCGCGAAGAAAAAAGCTACCATTAATAATAGATATGATAGAGTTGATAATTTATATATATATATATATATATATATATATATATACACATAATACCTATTACACTTTCAAACAGATCCGACAGCACTTTCCTCTCTCGTCGTAACCGGTCATCTCTGATTATATACGCCTATGGACTATATTAACATAATTAGATAGCGGTTCGCGAGCCACGCGCTGTTTATCAACACCATGCCGTACGATATATATATATAAATTATATGAAAACAATTAAGAAAAAGATAACGTGTAAAAACAATAAATATTAATCGTTCGTTTAACGAATCGAACCGAGAGTAACATATTAATTTAAATTATGTAATGACTAATTAACTACTTATCAGTTTTTTATTATTTACCTGAATGCCTGGCAAGAAATAAATAAAAACCGGAAAACACCGTAGACCAACTGGAGCCTTGTGGCATGTTGCAGTCCGTTTCGTTTTCGACTTGTTCGATCATCGCCACCGTGGTAGTCGCGGTTCTGGTATTCATCGAAATCGAAAATGCTGCAAGTTCGTACGACTTTTATTTAACTCTCTCCCGATCGTCTCCCTGCACTGTGGCCGTCCCCTGATCGTGCGGCGAGGGGGTCGCGTTCAGGAATTCAGTCCCCTCGCGATCGCAGTGACAACAACACGGACGCAAAGCGCTGACACCGTTTCACACATAATAATATAGTATTATAGTGTTGTTAAGAAAAATAATTCGTACTAGATATGATGTACAATGATACACGCGACGAATTACTTTATTGTGTTGTTGTTGTGAGGCTACTACATCACTTTTTACACCGGAAAAATAAACTGTGTAATATGTAATATCTTTTTGGTCTTATATAAATGTATCCAGCCGGAGTAAAAAAAAAATAATAATATTAAAAATATTGGGCTTTACACGATTAAAAAAAAAACACTGACAATATTAAAAATAGTAATCATAAACGAAACTTAAAAATATAAACGTCTTTCTCTCGGGTTCGTTAAAAAAAAAAACAATGTATTATTATAACACACACAACACGCGTACAATATTATCATACAATTATGCGCGGTTTCAAAAATAAACTTCGGCAGCGCCGTACCCGAGAGCTTACGGGCGTTTCGGGGTTTTTTTTCCCGGCGATAAAGACACCGGACGATTACAATATTATTTCGAAACAACACGAATGTTTTTCAAATGAGTAAAATATTTATGCATACGTCGGAAGCGGTGACGGACGTCTTCTTGACAATAGTCATACACGAGATACGATGTGTGTGTGATAATACCGAAAAATAACTGAACAGAATGAAAAATTGATGTGTACACACGCGTATTCGGGTACCGGTGCTATGCTGTTACCACCACACCTGAACCAGATAAGAAAAACAACACAACTATTATAAAATGCCGCTACCACTTAGGTGTGTGTACGTGTATATTATATGCATACATGTGTATGTATGTATTTCTATTATATGTATGCACTTAATAATCGCGGCGGACGGTGACGGACAACGGTGACTACGAGCGGTAAACGAACAGCCGACCGAGCAACGAACCTTCGACTGACGTGCTTGCGCGTGTGTGCGAGTACACGCCAGAGCCGCCGCCGAAAAGGTGGGACGGTACCGCCGTGCCAACCGGCTCACGATCGCCGACGACCGTACCCGAACCGGATACGCGCCGCCGACGACGGGCCCATGCTCGGTGTGGTGTTTTTTTACCTCCGTTCCTCCTTTTTTTTATTTATCACCCGACCTAGGTACTAGGTAGTATTATAATACACAAAAATCAACCCTTCGGGTAATGCGCGCGCGAATCACCGGTAAATTATGTTTTATTTATTAAGAATTATTCTTAAAACGTAGGTATATACACCGGCCGACAGTTTACTCGAACGTAACACATAACTAATTGTGTGTTTGTTTGTGTGTGTTCACAGTTTATATTATGGAAATTATGTCAATATACTACTGTAAACTGTTATTATCGTTATGTATACAGTGGCGGACTGGCATGGCGGGTACTACTTAACGCAATACATTATCAGTGGGCGTACGCCCGAGGAGAGATAATGAGGTGGTGTAAGGGGTCACATCTCCTCGTAGACGAATTCTTTTTCGACATTTCACCTTTAAACACCATATGGAAACGGGCCGGTTTTGGTGTGAATCTAAGCTCGAAAATAATGCTAATCATTTATTGTGTAACGATGGTTTTACACTTACGGTATAAAAACCATAATAATAGTTATAATATTACTACCATACTATAATAATTTACCAGGCTCTAACCACTGTAGAATCTAGTAGTAATGTCTTCACGATATTCACGAAGTAAAAAAAAAAGGTAGAACAATTAAGCTATAGTAACAGCGACAGCTAAACTCAGTTAAATTTGCTTAATAAATCTCAGACTATAAATATTAAGCCAAAAATACTATCACCGTACCTCAAAGCAAAAGTGTATTAAGTCAAAAATTTAAATTTCTCAGTTTTTTGGTACACCTAGATTTAAATTTCGCACTCTATTCCCTGATACTACCTCATACGACGGTTGGACTATTAAATGAGTCCATCCAAATTCGTCTATTTAAAATAATATAAAACATTTCATTAACTTAACTAATAATTGTTAATTATTTATTTATTGTAAATGATTAATAAATTATTTTATTTTTCTCTCTTATAAAATTGATATTTTGTGACTTTTCTACACTTTTGCTCTGATGTACGGATATGTTTAATAAAGCCAAATGTTAAATGTAATTGTCACTTTATATAAATACATGATTATAACAGCGAAAGGTTATCAGTAATATAAAAAAATGTGTACACCCCTGTGATTGTTATCATAGATTAAAATATATATATAGATAGGTATATACCACACCTTGAATAAAATCCAAGGACACATAAAATTCAGCAACCGTTATGATAACGATATGGATTATGGACGCAACAAATACTTGGTTAATATAGGTTTTCGTCAAAATTGGGTTCCAAAATAGTATCTGCCATGATATATCTACAATCTACATTATTGTGGTGTATGGCTAGGTGACGCACATGTTTTATGAATGGCCTCGAATCCAGTACAGACCTGTTCAAACGCGATACATATGTTTAAAAACCTCTCGTCCTTAATGTTAGTGTGTATATTGAAAAAAAACATGGTTGATTCTATAATATAAATACGCATCTTTAGAGCAACATATGAATCAATCAGTTACCAATCAAGTTCAAAATGTTTCGGAAAATTTAAATTATATAATAACTTTTTAAGGACAGAAGCTTATTACCATTAGAGTGTGGACCGACAACCGAAACCTTTATTTCACAGAATGTGGTCGAATTAAACGCTATATATCTGTCGGACCAAAGCTTGAGGATCAAGCTCCTTACGTTTCAGTCGACTGTTATTGGCCACGACGATTTAGAAACTCAAGATGTATAAACTATAAACAGAAGAATATCAGTCAAAGATATGGGAAAGACGGTGAAAGACGTGGGTTATATCTTACGACTAATAGAGTCGTGAAAGTTAAATGCCACTTACCTGCCGTGCCGACATTGCAGAATATTCTGTAGTAAATAAGTAGGCACATTCTGAATAATATAAACAGCTGTGTTTAATGCTAAACGATGTATAATTGTTTCGCGGTCGCAAAAATTGCTGGACGAGCGACAACAGCAGCTAAGACGGTGTATTGCTACGAGAAACATTCGAAACCGACGTTTACCGTAAACTAGACGGATTTCTAATTTTTTAAAAGCGTTTTTCCAAACGTCCTGCGCATTTTAAACATCATCATCATCATCATCATCATCATCGTGGTCGTATAATGTCCCACCACTACTGCCACTACCGGCGTGATTCTATGTAGTATACACGTATGTGTGTGTTTGTGTATACAAAAAAATTATACACCCGAACACAAACAAAATATGCGACCCGAGAACCTCTCGATCGTAGACCGCATTAGTCCGGCGGGTCTCGTAAAAAAACTTCATTCACAGCTTGACCGCATTCATCCCTAATGATGGGACTCTTTGCAAACATTTTCAATACAGTCGTCACCGTCGACGTCGTCCCTTAACAATAATAGCTCTCTGTCAATGTACTATGCCATGTATACACTAATGATTTCGGGACACAAGGGCGATACGTAAAATGGAAAACATTGTCTATTTAATAGTATATACGTATAGGTAATGCAATCGAAAGCAAATTATACACCATTAGGTCGTTACCCTCGCTGGTCGGGCGCGACGGCGGCTACCGTCTGTGCAACACAGTCGCCCGCCAAGTCTCGGACAGCAGAAGTTATTTGAATATCGTCCAAATACTATACACAGATCACGCTTCCACACATATACTTGTCGATTACTCATATACCGCAACCCCGACGGCATATAGAGTAGAAAAAAGAAAAGAAATATCTATAGATACCTCCAGTACAAAAATGTCAATAATCCCGTTCCGGTTGCCGGTCACACCCCACAGAGGAGAAGATATTTTACAATATGCTCGTAGGTCTTAAAAAAATGGTCAATCGACCCCCTCGTCGATAATTGTGCGAATGGAAAAAATAACTATTTCGCACCTTCCCATAAGCACACGGTCAAAACATTAAAAAATCTTTCGCCCGAACTATGTATTGTATAGACATTTTTCTTCGAATTATTATTATCATTTATCACATTGTTATTTCGTGTTCATACCCCCATGTCAACTATCCCGTTTCGTGACTACGATCCGAATACAGCATCTGCTTCTTTTTTCAATTTTTGTTGTTTTCTTCCATTACAACTAGTATATCGGATACGCATCGTCTGAAATTCAGCTATTACAGCTATCTGGTCGTCGGTAATATTCGGTAATAACATCTTATAATCATTATTATTATTATTATTAAACACCATCGGTTCATCGGCAGCGATGGCAGTAGTGGTGTTCGCTCTAGTGAGTAAGTTTCTCTTCCACATCGATTATCCGTATGTGCGGCGTGCCGCCTCTATCGTACAATGGTAATAATAATATTGTTATTATTATTATTTTATAATATTAAAAAATATCGGATATACATGTACGGTTGGTCGTATAATAAGGCATCGCCGCGCCGCCGAGTGTGTGATTATTGAAACATAACGAAATTTCATGTATGAGCGAACCCGCCGCGGTTAAAAGCGAGGCAAATTAATATTACATGGCCGCCGTTGATACCACCGGTTCATTGCAGTCGGAGGGGTTGGCCAGGAAGCTGTACGCTTTTTAAAAAAAACAAAAACAATTTATGTACAGATCTATAATAAACTATTATTTCTAACTCAAACCGATATAATCAAACACGCACACATTGATTGACACGAATATTGTTAGAATGCCCTTTCACTAGCGGTGTCGTCCCTTTGGCTCGCGAGCCAGAAATCTCATCTTTCGTCATACCCAAGGCAAAGCGTATACTACTATCAATTATTCATCTTATCCCTCAGACGATAATTAAAATGTTTTGTACATTAAATCTGGTGTTTACATCATAAACATATTAGTTATTATTAATTTATGAACTAAATACAAAAAGAACAATATTTCATCATTGAACGAGAAAAAAAAGACCAAAATACCTAACCCAATCAATGATAAAGGAGTAAAACTAATTAATTTATAAAAAGTTTGATTTCATTATTTATAATACCAAATTTGTTTGTATAAAAACGATCAACATAAAAGTTTACACGTCACTTGCTAAGTCCATTTACCGATACATTATTTAATTATTGTAAGTGAATTTTACAACATGATGTGATGTAAAACAAATTTTACTGATTCCTACATTTTATTGTTAAACTTGCCATGCGTGAAAACGATAGACGTGACAAGTAGAGTACATAGTATATTATACTATATACCGTGTGCTTCTTTTCGTGCGGTCGTAATCTATAAAACCGATTGTAAAACACGAATATAAAAAAAACTTTCGGGTACTAACAGAATAATGTACTCGGTAGCGTGTAAGCCGTATGCACAAGCGATGGTAACATATCGGTTATCATCTAGGAAGAATTCAGCTCAACGAAAGACACTGAGTGAGAAAGAGGGGTAACAGATTATATAGAGCAATAATAAATAATAATATATACATATGTGTCAAGAAATAATTTTATGAGCTACTATGTATAGAGAATCCACACATGGACCGGGGAATAATTGCGATAAATTAACAATAACTCTGTATACATAGGCGTACCTACTACTCGTGCACACGTCAAACTTGTATATTGCTAGGCGGCTCGGTTAAAGTGATAATTTCCGCCGGAGCAAAAATACACAATGCGCCTTCGGCACTTGTGCCTGAGAATTAAAACTCTTCGACACGTATAAATAAAAAAAAGCATACATACATATCGCACAAGTACATGTCAACAATAAGAACCGGGCTGTGTACGTTCAAACATCGATAACTTAAGAAACACACATAAAGCTGACAAATCGTCAGTACTTATTTCAAACGAGATTAACTCTTATCGTATTACGTTAGTCAAGTACTTCAAAAGCTA